AGACGTATTTAATTCGTTTTTTTTTCTGATGAAAAATAAACTTTGTTTCAATCATGTGTGTAATTGAAAGTGCTCATTTTTACATTAATTATTCTCTTGCTCCCGCCTGCTACCCACAATAAAAACATGTTATCGGTAATTTTCGTATTACACTACAAAACAATTCATGCATACACTATACCCAAAATAGACGAGTTGAAACTTGATTTTATTATAAACTATATGTAGAAGATGCTCAAAAAGTTTTCAAGCATGATTTTATCTGAGACTGCATCTGTACGCGCGATTAGTAAAAACTGTTTAGATGCTTTTCTTGTGTCCTGTTTGCATTCAGACGGATTTATTCTCCGAAAACTCTTTCTAGCAAAAGTCAATTAATCGCGTCCAAACTCCTTTCGATTTCAAAAGATATTTGAATACAAAAATATTGTATTGAATAGACATAATTAAAAAAAATGAACTTGATCAGAAACATTTGAACGTTTTTCTTCTTCTAGCAAGTGAATATGTGTTTATAACGTCAAATACACATAGCGCCACGAAGATCAACGCGTTACATGTGTGTGTTATTCATTGAAATTTCATTCAGCTTTTTCTAGACGGAGACTTATTGTGTATAGCGTGCCTGAGCGTGATGAGGAAGTAATTATGTGTAAGAAAGATAAAAACAAAATATGAACTTCTGTCTACAATTCATTTTTCATTGTATTAAAATCTTACATAAAATCATCTGTCACATTAAGATCATGATATTCGAAAAAATCTTTGAATATAATTTATGATCCTTAGAAGATAACAAAGTTTAACATTTCATTTAAAACTGCAAAATTTATTAGAAAATAAAAAATAAAAAATAACGTGAAGTGTTGAATATTTTACACGAAAAAAAATTTGGAGCTAGAATAAGTCTGTAGTGTATATGCACGACTTTCGATCACTGGTTGGCTTGTTAAAGTTTGACTATCATCGATTATAATAATTGTTCATTGCATTTGTCAGGGTAGACTAAAACTATCATCAGATAATATCGATGCCGACCTATTCTGAATCTGAGATTAGTCAAAATTTACCTTTTAAATTTCATTTGGGATGCATATCGATGCGGTTCCATTTGAAATCGCGTCTAGACTCCAAAAACGTTTCATTTGAAGCTTATCGGGTCACCTTCGTCCACCACATTACGAACACTCGTTAACCAAGATTCAGACCCGTCTTAACTATTAACGTATCTATATGAGAATGAACGTAATCTCTTGTAGAGAAATAAAAGTGTTTCTTCGTTGATTTAGTACATATTTCCTTCTGAAGATTGATTTACTTTTGATCGATTAATTACAAGAGTAATGTTAGGCGTAAACTAATGATTTTAGATTAAATTGCAATCAAAAGTACATTGAATTAGTTGAGAGATATCTGATTGGAGATTTTTATGTCATGCTCTAGTTTACGTCGTTATGAAAAATTGAATGACTTTTCATCTGTTGCGAGAGTAATCCTTCAGACAGGGTATTCTTATTCAAAATCTATTTTTATAATCGAAATCGTAGTGTTTCAAATCATGAGTCTTATTGAACAAACATTAATATCGATGAAGAATGCGTTTATTATGATCATAATAAATCAATGATTAATGACTTTTTTAAAATATTTTATCTTTAGGAAAAAAAATTGTTCGAATTTATACAGTTCTAATACCGTCTTCCATATGGATAACCATATCCACCACCATAACCACCATAACCACCGTAACCGCCATAACCACCATAACCACCATAACCTCCATAACCACCATATCCACCCAATCGTTGAGCATATGTTGGATTTGGATTTCCACCCATTGCATTATCAAAATATGTGCCCATTGGACCTATATTAAAAGAAGTCATTAAGGAATATTTGTTTTTTCACTTCATATTTTTCGTGTATTTATCATTGTTTATTCGAATGAAAAACAATTACTATTGAGATTTATTATAAGAATATAAATTTTCTTATAGAATTTGACACAATTTTTATCAACACATTAGGCTGAAAATTATAAACGAACCAGTCAAAACTGTTTATATATGCAGCGGGTACCAAAATTATTCAACAGGGTTTATTTTGAATTATTTTGTCTATCAAAATCGGAAAAAAAATTCGAATAGTGGTTCGAATAGAGAAATATATATATACTATATGAATAATAAAACGATTATTAGATCCTAAAAGAAAAGGTTTCTAGAAAATCGAATCACCAATTTTCAACATCTAAAAAACACAAATTTTATTTTGTTTGAGCCAACAGAACAATAGAGTAACTTATTCTCTTTAAAATAAGACGTTTACGAGCTTTGTACAACTCTTTTTTTTGACTTACAACAAACCAGATTGAAAATCGGCAAATGAGTTTTTTCATAGAAAACACTTTCATAGACTTTGGTAAGATTACTGTATATCAGCGAAAAAAGGGTCGTGAAAAACTCGGAGATGTTACATGTTTTTAGAGAATTGTTTGTTCTATTCAAATCATTATTTAAGTTCTTTTGTTAAGATTAGGACAGAGAAAAAATTGAAAACAAGTCTGGCTGAATAGTTTTAGTAGTTATGGTACATGTATATAAATATATAATGAAAGTGAAAATAAATCGTATTCTAATAATATAAGCAACAATATTTTACAATCCTCACTGTTTAATCCCCCAGGAACATTTCGTTCAATCCACATATCAGATGCCAGTTCTGAAAGTACATAGGGATTGCCACCATACATATTTAATGTATTACTAAATGCGTAGAATACCGAAAAATTATTTCTGTGCTTTGATCAATGAATAAAAATTGGTTTGATTGGGTCTATTTATATAGGATGTTATTGTTGTCGCAATAATGACAAATATGAGTCATAAAAGATTTCTGAAGCGTAAATAAGAATGACTAGTTAAGCCAATGAAGGCGTTCAAACAAAAGATACGTCTCGAAGTTTCTTTTCGCTTTGATGTCGATTGATTTGCTGCGCGTGTTTACTCATGCATGCAACGATTTTATTTTTAAGGGAAAGTTGCTTCTATCTCTTATTTTTCTATTAGGTTTTTTTTGAAATCATATTCAACTGTTTTGTTTTTTTTTTTGACGTCAACGAGTAAATATGTTTTATATGTAAAGAATATACGAATAATCATCACATGTCATGAGTCATTTTTTACCTTGTCAAGTAAGCAATATTTTTCTCTCATCTGTTCGTTAATCTTATCTAACAAAATAGTATATTTTCATTGATTCATCGGATAAACTAAAAGAAAGTGTTGAATATTTTAAAATAATTCTTGATTTTAAAATATAATCATAAACTAAAACAACTGTTCGAAAAATGGCCAACAACAATACTCATTAATAAAAAATATTTAGTGAATACTATTTATTTTATATGATGATTTAGAATAAAAAAAATAAATGAATATTTTCATATTTAAATTCCAATGTTTTATAATAAAACAAATACTAAGTCAAAAACATGGACGGGGAAATATAAGCAATGATCTTTTGCTAATAGGAAAAGAACGTTCAATAAGATTTCATCATTTCATTTATAGTGTAAGTAAAAAAAAACTTGAATAACCATTCCATTCATAAAACCAACTATTGCAAAACGATTACATAATGATAACCGAGGTTTTTTTTTACTATGTCTGAATATTCGTTCACTACCCGTTATCAATTATGAAAGAAGAGTAGAAAGAAACAAAATGGTTAACTTGCCCATTTTAGACCGAATTATGAACAACATAAATTGTATTAATACTTTCTTATTCGTGATTGATTATTAAAAAGCAAAAAACCTCTAGAAGTGAACGATATTTTACAATTCATTCAAATAAAAACAGTTTTGCGTTTAAAATTTTGCTACACATCATAATACAAAGCTGTTTGAGAGTTATGTGTATGTTTAGAAAAAGTTTTGATTGAATGTCTTAGTTCAGATACCTCATTTTGAAGTAAACTATTTTTTCGACTTAATCATATCCATAGAAAATCTTTTATCACAAATTGATTTGTCCATGCAAATAATATCAATGATAGAATACTAATGATTGCAAAAGTAAGAAATAAACTACTCATTTCTGCAATGTTTATACTGGTAGATGCATTAGATAAAAACTACTGTTGACAAAGATTTCCTTCAAACCATTTTCTTTTTAAATCGTCAAGAACATCTGATTCTCTTAATGATAATATAACGATAACTAAGTTTTTTGAATATAACCATTGTTTAGTTGCTGTGAAAGAACTACTGCTACTTTAAACATAGAACAAGAATCAAATGACAATTCCATAGGTTTAGATGTGTTTCCTTACGTCTTGAAAAAAACCTAATACTCGAAATGTTTGAAAGCGGCCAAGTTGCAATCATGTACTGCAGATTAAATTCCCTGAATATAAACGATAATAGCAATCAACAAAAATATCATGAGGATAAAATCAAGTTTTTATTGCAATCTTTGCATACAGAGATATCAGCTCGAATAATCAAATACTGAAACAATTCGATTCAAGTCGAAAGAAATTATCAACGAATTCAGCTGTCAGATTTTATTAAATTTATTGAATTCATCATCATGAGAAGTCGACTGTAAAATGTTATAAAAGAAAATTTTATCCTCCGACAAGATATTTGCTCTAACTAAAGAAGTTCAGTTTGCGCTTTTTTAACAAATAAATCACATTCAAATACAAAGCTCGTTATGAATCTTAATAGACTAGGAAATTCCAGCGAAATTAAACGAAATTGTTAGGATTTTAATCGGACAATGGAACTATTGGTGATATCAGTTAAAAAGATTAATCATATTCAGGCAAAATTATCACTTTCAACGCAAAACTACCAAATTTATAATACGAAATGCTAATAACAAACCTCGAAAGAGTTATTCAAATTTTAAGGTATTGACAATTTAGATACAAATAATGTCTCTTGATGTGAGTATCTCGCCATAATGAGCACCCTATTATACAGGATGACCTATTGTTCGTCCACGTGAAGTTCGCTAGAAATAAGCGTCCTTAGTATGCGTTCCTCTTTATGCTGAGTAGTGGACATTTATTTCCATTCCCATGAACAGTAATAAACTCTGTAATGTCAACAAAATATATTTTATCATTCACGCACAGCACAAGAAAAAACAATAATTACATTATGATAAACAATCATGTGATATATATAATAGAGGGATGGACTAACTGTGCATATATCAAAGAAATTAATTTACCTCTGATTAAAAAGAATGAATTAATAAATTGTTAGAAAGAAAGAAGTGATCATTTTTAACCGCTAAAAATCGATATCAACCGAATACTTATATGTTACGAAAAAGAAACTGAAAATCTTCCAATAATGAACACCTCTGTAAAGTGAACACTTTTGACCGGTTCTGATGGAGCCTATATTAGAGATACTTTACTGAATATAAGAATAATAGAAGTTTCCCAGTTCATTTTTTTTTGTATAATTAACTATTTCCTTAAGTAGTAAGTTTTTAGAATTTGAATAACGTTTATCTATCGATCATATGAGCGCTGCACAATTTTTGACCCTTTCTGAAAGTTTAGTAGTATATGAACAGGCAAACATAAGCTTCTGTTTATCATCACAAATAATTTTCGAAGCTTCTGATCTTATTTGAACTGAAAGTCATAAGAAGTACAACACTTATATGGTAGATAAATAAACACTACTAAAATTCTAGAAACTTATTACTTGAAAATATTGTTAATAGTACAAAAAAAAATGAATTTGGAAAGTTCTGTTGTTCTTATATAACTAAATTGTGAATACCTTAAAATTTGAATAACTCGGTTCAGGTTTGCTATTAGTAGCTCCTATTTTAAGTTTGGTAGTTTTGTGTTCGCAGTGATACTTATGCCAGAACATGTGGAATTCTATTAACTGACATGACAAACAGTTCGATTGCTAGAACTGTTTCAAGAATTTCAGCACTATTTAATGAATATTCGTAGATATTTAATAAATACTCAGCTACTTAGTTATTCGAAGTGATTATGTTTTCAGCAAGAAGCGCGAAAAATGAAAATAGTTCGTTGAATAGTTATTGAATCTCATGCACTATTTTATCAATATGCGAATCGACTATATAAATTATTTAAAGTCTGTATATTTTTTTTTTCTTGGATAGTTATCAAATCGTATAAATTGGTACGATATTTTTTAATAATGTTAGGTTTGAATAGCTTATAACATGAGCCACACACAAACACACATCGCAATAGAAGCAACTGTATAATATAGTTGCTTCGATTGACTGCATTTTGTCTCATTGATTTTTTGTGAATAGTTCAACTGTCTATTGTGTCTTTGGTTTTACATTTTTATTAATTCAAACTTCAAGTTATGAGTAGACGTGCACCTAAACGACATTTTTCCATCGGTAGAAAATTGAAGTAGGAGAATGATACTACAAAATGCCAAAAGAGGAATTTCAGCAACGTTGTTAGACTACATTCTAGAGTTAATCAAAAAACGTGAAGCCAATGAGTTTGGATCTGAGTTGTTTTTCGGTTTTCTGTCAATCTCTTATGGAGCCGAATGGTTCATTCAACCATTCTCCATTTGATTGTCACAGACAGTCATCCTTCCATGTTTGTAGTGCGATAGTTTATTGTTATAGTTCATAATCAATGAGATAAGTTGAAATATTAAAATTCTCTTATTGACTTTATTTACATGCCTACTTATGAGTAGTAGGCACACGACAGGAGGCAAATGATAGGTTGAGCCCCCTTCTCCTCCAGATATATATGGTAAAAAAACCTGATCAGAATGCAAATTATATACAATAAACAATGAAGAGCAACATAGAAGAAATAAACAAATTGAATATTGCAATTGAAACTATGAAAATATTCCACACTGTTAAGAAGTTTCTCGCTTGAATAGATAATTCAAACGAACCATCAATTTTTCCAACACTATTAAAAAATCAAAACAATATACATATAAGAAGCACCATAACATTGATATTTTTTATGTTTTAAAAGCTCGACTAAAAATATTATTTCAAATGTAATTAAAGAAAAAGTTTATTAATTTATCATTGTCACTTATGGACCACCTGTAGATGTAGAAGAACTGGAAGTAGTAACGGTGGAACTAACATTAGTAATTTATGCTGTGGTACTAACAATTGTAGCAGCGTTGCTGATAGTAGTAGCTGTTGAAGTGCTCGTAGTTGTTGGTGTTGACAAAGGATTAACAACAATTGCATTAAAGACATTACCTAGTGCATTAAAAACTATATTGACTAGTATATTATCTGTTAGTGATGAGCCAGCTGGTGGTGAATAATTATATTGTTCAATAATATTTCCATTATCCAACGTTTGTGTAACACCAGTGAATGTCATATTTTGTAGATAATCACCAACAACGGATTATGAAAGAATTTGTCCATCAGTACATATTACTTGATTGATAATCTTACCAGCTAAACAAAATCAAAATTTCAATATTTCATAATATAGAAATCATCTATACAGATTTCTTACTATTATCAATAATCTGATGAATAATTTGTCCATTTTGTGTAAATATAGCAATATTATCAAGATATACAGCTAATTGAACTTGAGCTTTACACCTACATAATGCAACAAATAAATTTATAAAAAAAAGAAAAACGAAATTTAACGTTTTTCTTCTCACCAAGAATCTTTAATTCAACAGTTGAAATACCTACTTAAACACAAGCATTAATATTAACGAGTGATGCGACTCGGAGATCAAGATTTAAACGAGCTTGAAGATTATCTACACGTAATGCAATTGTTGGTATGGTTAGTGTTGCATCAAGCCATACATCATGTGGATTACTAATACTATATGGAAGTTCTTGTGTACAAATAGATGCACGGTCTCTGCAATTATCTATTGATATTTCTTGATAATTGGTATAACCATTGGTAGTAGTAGTAGTAGAAGTAGTATTTCAACTACATGAAATTCAAAATCGAAATTTTTCTTTTTTAAAAAATATATGAAAACTGACTTGCTTGACCACTTATAGATACTACTAATAATAAAATACTTAGAAATAGCATGTTGGAGATAGTTTGATTGGATTTCTTTTGTGTTTGTATTCTATTTTACAACACTCAAATTGATGATCTGATCAAGCGTAACGCATATTTATCTTTCTTTTTCTTCACTTCATATGTTTTATCTTTATGACAAATACAAAGAAGAGATACTTTAATAATCATGTGTACGTTATTATTCAATAAAACAAAACATTAGCGTCGCATAAGTCAAGAATCTTTTATATTTTAAGACCATTTTAGAAGTGAGCAATTAAACCCATAAAACGTTAATTTTCTAGTGACCAAGCAGATATTATATTAAATTGTATTGAAAAATAAACACCAATCATCAATTGAAATAATTCAATTTCAAAAATAAATTGTTTACATAAATCATTGTTACTTATTTTATTAAATATCATATCATATTTCGATATATGATAGTTAATTGTTTAAAATATTTTAATTATGATTTTCGTTGATTAGCTGTTAAATACAATCAAATATTATTCAAAAGAATTGTGTGACATTTTTTGAGAAACACGAACTCAAAGTAGTATTGAAGATAGAATGAGACTTTTACACCCTACCTGTCTTGCAAACCATAGTAAACACTTTAGCAAATACCTATTACAGATCGCAATACGCGTAGCAGAAAAAGTTGATTTTTTAATATATATTTATAAATTCTTATAAGAAAAAATCATCAAGTCATGGATAAACTGAAAATCTCTAGCGAGGGAAGATCTTCACCTATGACTCTTCATTTTAATGGACTTCATAGCAGTATGTAGAGCTTGATGAACTAATTAATATACCATAAAGCGTTCTTCCCCATAATCTTCTTCCAGAAGTTAAGTCGATCTCAACTGCAGCAAAATTACTATAAGTTGTTATTTCGGAGATTTTAATTTTTATATTAATTTAGTTTTCTGTATTCAAAATTTTAACATCGAACGTGCCTTGATTGACTGTACACATTTACACTAACCTATCCTTCTATTATTAGGGGTACGACAGTTCAGAAAAAGCTCCGAGCTGATGAACTGTTCGACAAACAGAGCTGAGCTGAACTGAACTGTTCGAAAAGTTCAGTTCAGTTTGCGAGAACTGATCGAACAGTTCTCCTGAACTGACCTGAACTGTTCGTGCAGCTCAGCTCAATTTTCGAGAACTGATAAGGTCGAACTCTGTGAGGTAGCCAGAAGTCCTACTATACGGGGTACATTTGGGTCCTCAAGTCCTACTATTGAGGGATACCCTTGGGTCCTCAAGCCTTACTATTGGCGGTGGTGGAGGGGGTCCCCAAAGGTCCTCATCCAGGACTCAAGTGCACCGGTCAATAGTTTGACTTGAGGAGCTCACGGTGCCCCCGAATAGTAAGACTTCGGGGCCCAAGAGTTCCTGCAGCAGTAGCCCATGTTGGACGAGGGGTATCCCCATTGCTGGCAATTGAACCGGAGGGCCTTAGAGTTCCGCGCAACACTTGCAGTTGTTGGGCCAAGGGTATTTTCCTACACTTGCACTTTAAGACCGAACGGTTTCCCAATAGTAGGACTTGAGAACTCTTGGGTACCCACCAATAGTGGAACTTCAGGATCCTGGAGTACGTGGTTGATGACGGCAGACGGATGGCTCATCGTTTTCCCCGTTCCCCGGTAACTGGAAACTGGCCGCTACCGTTCCCAGGTAACTGATAACTTTTTCGTTACCATTACCGTCACCGGGTAATGGTCTGAAGACAGTTACCAGTTACCTGGATAACGGTCTGGGAACGGTAACTTTCCACCCCTAGCCGGAGAACCCAAGGGAACTTCCTATAGGACAGCCCTCGGGGACCTATTAGTACCGTTGTACAATAGTAGCTAGTTTAATTTTAAGTTCAGTTCATTCGAAAAGAACTGTTCGAGTAGTTCTTTAGCTCCTTTGAGCGGAGTTCGTGAACTGAGCTGGTTGACCCCTAATCCGTACTTTACCGTACTTTTGAAATGTGTTTAAGATATTCTCAAAACTGTTTTAGCTCTTTAAAGTATGCTATTAACCCGTGTCATGAGCATATTAATTAGTTTGAGTCAATTTTATATCAGTTTGTTGGCAATTAAGCCCAAATACTTGATCGTACTTCACTGATACCCAAATTTTGAAGTACGATCAAGTATTTGGACTGAATTGCCAGCCAAACTTATATGCAATGGACTCAAACTAATATAAATTTAATGTAACACACATTGATATCAGCCTTTGAAATAGTAAAAAGTTCTACAGGATAACGTTGATATACCGTTGGTGCATCATTCAATGATTAGCCTTTCAAAGTGTTCGTAAATACAAGAAAGGGCGCAATCTGCGTAGGTTCAAGAACATTGGGGCTAGCCAGCTTCCCTTCATCCCGCCAAGCCCAAAATCTTGGTTCTGTCACAAGTATATAGAGTACCGAATGCATGAGATTGCAGGCTTTTGTCTGGTCTAGTTTGTAAATTGGCCAGAAGCCACAGATTAACTCGCCGAAATGAGACGATTCTCAAAGTTTGGCCAGAGTTTGACATCGAATTAGAAAAAGCTCACATGAAAGATTTGTCGTTGTTGTCATCGTGGTTGTGGTCAACGTTGTCGTTTCCGTTATTGTTTTCATCGATACTATCACACAAACAAAAAAAAACACTTCAAGAAGTATATCAATTAGCAACATAATAGTCGATCTCTTCATACAGATTCTTCCATTAAATTCTTGGGTGTGGGATGTGGGCGAGTATGGGTGTGAGGGTCGGGCTGGGTCTGGATGTGCATCAAGAGAAGATCCACATCCACATTCACACCCACACCCACACACCCACAACCACACCCCCATCCGATTCAAAATAAGTATTACAATGAATCAGCATCTGTTTATTTAATATGATCTGTACTGATGTCAATAGATATATCTAACATTTTAAAGAAATTGAAACCAACGATCTTCCTGGTGTGCTCGTGTTGCAATACATTCGCTGACAGTATAGACTTTCGAGTTCAATATGAGTCAATTTATATGAAATAAATTTCCTCATAATTCTTCATTATTAGAAAAAAATCGCCCGAACAGATCCGACAGGAAGGTCGAAACACATTGTGATGGCTAAATTTCATTTATGTTTGTTGAAGACTCTTGAAGAGTAGCTGAATATCACAGTATACATCCTCGAAGAATTCTCTGCAATATTGACTAGTTCTTTTTCTTTCGAGTATAAGACTAGTTGTGATCAAACTTATTTGTTCGAAGATGATTGAAAGTCAGTTTTTGATCTTCATAGGCTTCTATAAATAGATTTGATCGATATGCAGAGTCGAATTTCAAATTTAACTGATGATGGTCTATAAACAATGTCCACATGCTCTTCGTAAGTAGCTTGAGATTTAAATAATATTTTTAGATACACATCTAAAATTGCTAGCATATACCCTAATTATCGATAAATCGAAGAAACCTGACGAAATTCATGGAGAAAAACGAAGATGAGTGACTGGATGACCATGCCGGTGACGAACTATCTCCGACTTACTTTCGTTGCCAAACAAATGGCCTATAATAGATGATGACTTTCACATACATTCATCAATAAAGATCTAGAATATAGTTGAAGCATAAATATACATGAGCATCGTACGCGTGCTCCTATCGAACTCAATGTATTCTGATGAATAGAATGTTTTTATATTCCATTGGTTTTTTTGTCGTCATGCTCAAATCTGTTCGTTTTTCTCTCGATACAAAAATAAACGATAAATGCTCACATATGATTAATTAATCCTAGTATCATCAACCGGAATCCTTTTTTTATTTCAGTCAGGAAAAAGCAATTTTACTAAAATATCTTGGTATTGTTTAGTTTCAAAAAATATTTAGCATTTTTCACGATTTACAATTTAAAGTCACCTATAGAAAGGATGTGGGTGTGAAGTATAAACCGATATCCATATTCATATTGGTATAATGTCTAAAATAAGCTTGGTAGTACTAGGTTAATATCGATCAAACGGACAAATTATTCACACTAAAAATAATCATTCGCGAGTACAAGGTGATCCTTTGCACGACGGACGAAACCATTGACATCGATCAATCTCAGTTTTTATTAGTGGCGCAGGTGCATCTACTGGATAAAGTCCAAGAATAACATGCCAAGTATGTTCGAGAGTCCCTCCAAACCATTGAATTCCTTTTCCAAGCTGTTCATTTTCGCGTGGAGTTGTGCAAAAAGGCTCAAAATTGGCGTCATACAACGATAGCCATTGTTCATAAGTATAGTGATGAATACGTTGTTTCGTGACATAGAATTGAGCACAGCAGAAGCCTGAGATCAAATTTTCATCTTTGGGTGTCTTGGACGTTGGATTTAGTATCAATTCGGCTTCATAACCGAGTAAGGTCAGTATACGCTTGGCACACTTGTACATTAATGCGACTTTGTCATCTGGATCTTGAGGCCAATACGTCCATGGTCGCTTCTGAATCCATTCTCTGACATCATTTACGCTAGCAAAGTGAACATTGTCACGAACGCATAGAGCAGATTGGATAGGATTATAACTAGTGTGAATAAATGGATTTCCATGTATAAACAACATTTTATCAGGTAAATCATGATAGTAGTCGCGAATGAATTGTAGATAGATACCAGTTTCTTCATGAACATTTGGACAATAAGGCCAATCATACGGAATCGTCGAATTTGGATCCATGCGCTGATATAGATGAATATAATATGATCGTGGATTTGTGTTAGACCAGCCGAGTCCTTCACGAAGCCAAGAGGGCCAATTTGTGCGATTACTCCAATCGATTTCCTTCCATATTGCTGGAATAACGACAAGTGTATTCTTTGGCCATTTACTTTGTTTAAAGCTGTTGTTTAGAGAGATGGTGAATGGTATTTTCTGCATCTTCTCGGTACCAATGAGAAGTATAGCGGCAGTACCGAGTAACCCGCAGATTACAACGATCATGGTTACATATCTAAATGAACAGAATCATTCATGTTTGAGCGCGTTGGTGTGTCATTGTGGTTATTCATTGTGACGGGAAAACTTTTTTTTCATAAATATATCTCATGACATAAAGGATATTCGTCTCGCAATAATGTAGTTTCAAGAAAATATTTATAGTCCAAAAAGAGGTTTAAAATCGGATTTTCATAAAAGATTTCATATCCCAATGAGCAAACTTTTGTTTTCGTCCGAACTTTACCATAGTCTTAGAGTTAATAGACTTAGATAGATATGTACCGATATTGATACACAATAGTATCTGATACATGTCTAGACTTATATAAGTGAGAAAAATCTCAAATCATTGCTTGCCAATTAGATCCTTCTCAAGAATTGTGGCATACGACAAGAGTCTATGAGTATGGCGAGAACAACGTGGCAAAGGCTTATGCATTATATATTTATACGAGTTTTTTAGTTTCGTCAAGGTTAATGTATGTAAATAAAATATGAAATGAAACGAAAGATCTTGTCATGTCAATTAGCAGGTTTCAAATATAAGAAGTTCCTCAAATAGTTTGTGCAATGTGTATTATCGTTAGAACTCTTGAATAATTCTATACAATATGATTATTAAGAATGAATTGGTTAAATTTCTCGAGAACAGCCTCCTTATGTATTTGTATACCATACAATATCTGAAATTTAAAGATATACTCACTTGTACTTCGTCCAACTCATTCTCGTCTGGAAAAATTGAACTACCAAATCTAAAACAAAATAATAGTGTGTAGAAATGTTTCAGTAACGGCTGTATGAGTCAATTAGCGATAATATAATACAGAATAAAGCTTTTTTTTTTTCATTTATTCTTGCAGAAAAAATCATCCGATTATTGTCTGATGTTTCAAGACTGTTTGGAACTATTAGTGTTATCTTCATTTTTGCATTAGGAAATCAGTTGAGATTGCATACAATCTTATCTCACTTCAATTTATTTCTTGTTTCAAGTCTTTCATTATAAAGTTCATCATAGGGCACTGGGAAAATGCAAGAGTACGATGGTAGGTTTTCATCAATGGAAAATACAATAATTAAGAACAAAAATGAAAGAATGACATATATGTCCCTATTGTTTATATGCTTGCTTACGATCGTTTTATTTAAATATGGTTCCTTTTAGGTAAACATCATTACAAACACAACTACTTCTACATGCATTTATAATCGTTCAACTGAAAACGTGAACACATTGTGTATGGACATCAGTAGCATAACTTTGAGCAGGCAAGGATATCACTTATTTTCAGGTACGTACCAATGTCAATGAAAATAGAACAGAGCTTGCAATAAATTACTATTCGTAGTCAACTATAAGATACGATTGGATCTTTTTTCGTTCAATTTGTTTGTCGAACAATGTTATCAACAAAGAAAAATCATTCTGAAGAAAGAAACATTTTTGTTGAATATCTATCTTGAAAAAGTATTGTTATTATTGATGACAGAACGACAAATGACTCGATTGGTTTCGTTTGTTTTTCTTAAGAAAAAAAAAATACATGCTATATTATGATTAATCTTTCTAAAAATATCGAATACGAAGTGATTTTTTATTTAAAAATGGATATACTGATTTCTCAAATTATAGTACTTGATTCTAAAATAGCTATCTGGTAGATAAATACGTAAGAAACTAGTTTGAGTGTTCAGAACAATATGGAGTCTAATTTAATACTTAAATCTTTAAAATTTCGTTTCTTTACAAATGTAATAGAAATAAGTAATAGAGATCAAAAACTTTCTAGATTTTTATTGAGAATTTCACTGCCTAAGAGCTAGAGAATAAATTAGATAATGGTTAAATTGTTTTAATTGAAATTAAAATGAAATAATGTTTAATTTTATCTGGACCATCCGATAACAAAAAATATGAGCTTTTTTTCTTACCCAAAGTAATAGAATAACGCATATAATGAGCAGCTGCACCGATTCATTTAGTTATTTATTAGTCCCTTCTCCAGCAACGAGCACTTCATGTGATTTGGAGCAAGATCGCCAACATAGTGCGAGATTATTTTCTCTGATGCTATCTTAGGACTTTTAACCTACTCAGAAATATCGATCTTGACATTTTTTATCCGAAAAAAAAAACGTGTCTTTACAAACTTTTGTCTTTCGTGTTTTAAAATCTATTCAAATGTTAATAAATTGTGAAGCGATAATAGAAGAGCTTCTCTTGACTAAAAAACTCGCTAGAATAACATAATCTGATAAAAATATGATTCAGTCTATCCAATTATTTTCGATCGATTCATAAAAATAAATAGCAACTATCCAAAAGAGCAGATATGTATCGAGAGAAAAACATAGACATTTTCATATTTCTGTTTTGAGCTGATGTAAAAATGATAATGACACGAATAAATTTCTATAAGAATCTTTTAATGCCATCAACAGAATATGATTGATCCATAGTTTTATCAGACGAACAAAACAGAACATTTCTTGCATAAAAATGGCAATGGGAATTTTTTCTTACATCTACACAAGTAAGAATTATTCGTCGGCAATATACTGTTGGCCAAACATCCCGACCTTTCCTGAACTAGTGCTCGGCATGGCCACGCATCGGTTACCCTTGTATGGGGAAGGTTCAAGATCACAAAAGTGAGGAATAATGTCTCGAGAGTCGGAAATGTGCTATCAACAGATTACCAAACCTGTTGCAAGCTATAAGAGGAGTGATATAAACTTCAATTTTTGGTTCGACAGGTGTTGAAAAAGAGATTTATTGACTAATTTCATTAAAAAAAAAGCGTAACTTGTCACTTTTTCACATTGCATTTTTGTCTGAAAACTAGATAGAAATTCTTATGAGATTCCATTGCGAGAATAGATTTTAAAACACGAAAGACAAAAGTTTGTAAAGACACGTTTTTTTTCGGA